AAAAAAGGAGCTACTATTTTATCTTTTTCAAGTATTCTCTCATAGTTATCAAATTTCTGATTACCTAGGGAGCTTAATGTTCATTATATTGGTTTATTCTCTTATAATTTTCTCCAGTAATTTTCATGCCCTTATTTCTACCAAAGAATAATATTTGAGTATTCCTTATACTTAGGTAAACACTCTTTTACACTGTGTAAAATGGTCTCATAATTATCAATAGACCTCTCCTCTCATTCTGGTCAATTTAAGGTGGCCAAGAAAAGAATATAGTAGTAGACCTTGAGCATCTGTATCCATATGAGAAGCTATGACGTCTGTCGGGACCACGTACCCGTTTGGATATCCATCGAAGACTGGCCTCCGTATAAAAATTCTGTTTCATCGGTAAAGTTTGCGATCATATATGCTTGCTGGCACATTCATTCTCATTGGTAAGAAAAATTCCACTGTTATTTTGGCTTAATTTAAGGCGGGCTATAAAGGAAACGAGATCATAGCTTGTTTCTTTTCTATAGTGCAAGCTCTATCATAGAACTCGTTCAGATAATCATAATTATTAAAATGAGTTACATCTACATAAGAATATGCGCTTTTTCATAGGGCTTTCTCTATTCATATAAAAATCTCTTGTCTTAGTTTAAATTCATCGTAATAACTTTTCTTCTGCAAACAAACATTACAGCACCCTTCTCGAATGCACTGGCGTCAGAATAGAAAAGAGCTTTCCTTACTTAATCTAAAATATTATATGCCGATTCATCGACTCCTCAGTAGAAAATTAAATGTTATTGGAACCTCTTCGGCGCCGTGAGAAAGCTGAGGAGTTGTAAATCCCAATTAAGTTTTTCGTGGGTCAAAAAATTGTTTTCAATAGAGAATGTGTTTCCCTTCGTGTATTTCTTCCCATTCTTCGTTGGAAGAGTATTCTAGTGGTGCAGTACTTTTCTCTAGATGCCAATGTTTCCCAATATTATCGTACAACTCTGTTCTTACTTCATCTTTATAGGAAACTGTGAATCTTTTTCCTTTAAAGACTATTCCAGTAGTAAAGCTTCTATCTTCGGGGTCCTCTATGTCTCTAAATTTAGATGGGCTTTCCCGAGATAGAATTATATCATTTATGCAAGATTCATCCGAAACTATTACAAGTCATTCCGTAGAAGGTTCTTATTTTCAGTCGTTACACCGAAGAATTGTTGGAAGATCTAGGGTCTACAGATCTGTAGCCATTAAGATTTCAATCGAAGACAACAACATTCATCTCATTTTAAAAAGGCTTCCGTCTTTCGGAAAGCAGAGGAATTTGTGTTCTTAGTAAGACTTCAAGACTCGACTTTATTGACGTATTCTAATGCAACAAATTTATCCTCTCCTTCCAGTATTCATATCTTATTGGGATGGCGGTACACCTCCTTTGAGCCCCAAGTTTCCCAGAGCTTTGTTTTCTCATTATAAAATACAATTTTGCCTCTATTAATAACATTTATGATTTTACCATTTTCTATTTAGAAGGTGTATAATGAATTTAACTTTTTATTCACGTTATCCACCAAATATTATGGTCTACTATAGTAATTAGTTTTTTACCTATTGAAGAGGTCTGTATATCAATACCTGATGAAGGATAAGACTTCTCCGATAAATATTGAGTTTAGATTTCATGCTGTAATTCGTTTTTAGTAGTACTGCTCCTTTTACTCTCTTCAACGGCCAAAATATTTTTTACTTCTTGGTTAAACTCAGTTCCTTCGGTAATTTCATAGGGTGATACATTTTGCTTACATCTTTATTATCCTCAAATTTTACCTGTGTTAGGGATCAGCTGTAATGCATGAATTTCTTCAGTTTCAAGATTTTGTAAAGATTTCTCACCCTTAAGACTATACTTTCTTACACTGTCATAAAAGGATCTTACTTCTTTAGGCAGCCTATAAGCGGCAAGAATTGTTGGAATGGCATTTAGAAGACCAAAAAACAGTCGCTTTTGTTCAATATTTTCATGATAGAGCAAGTTACTATGCCATCTTTAGTCAAACCTTGTACCAAAAAAGAGCATCAAAAATTACTACTTGCGAAAATACTATTGCGAAGGGAAATATAAGTGTTGGCTACATCATCCATTTAAGAAATTTTCTTTTATTTCTGTCTCTGTTAGAAACTATTAAAACCTATATACTTTTCAACGCTATTCGAAAGGTTATATTGTCAAAAATACTGCTTCCAGAATGGTAAGGGCTAGCAACTTTAATGATATCATGAACTAGTTAAGGAGATTTAAGAGATGAGATGAGCTTTAATGTATACTCATGGCTATAATGCCTGAACGTAGCTTCTGCCTTCGAAAACAGAAAGTGTGACCGAAGCGGACACCTCTTCGACTTTTGTTTGAGTTATAAGCCATGCAGCTAACTCAGTTATATTGAAAGACTCATGCATAGGAGACGAGTTACCACTTGTAGATAGAAGCGTGTGCCTGTCTGTATTGTTCTCTGCACATTATATTAGAAGCATAAATATTTTCATTTATAGAAATTAAGGGGTTAAATAGTAAAGTAAGAGAAGCAAATTCAAAATTTTGAAACCCCAAATAAAATATACATGACGTTTTTAACCCCTGTGGTTGCATAAAATGTGGAATATGCAGCATTTTTACTTAAGCTTTTATCCTTAAATTTGAAAATTATGCCCTGTAAAAAAGACAGTAGCAAGTATTCAGAATAATTAAGATAATTTTTTCCCAGTAGTCATTTATGTATTTTCTATAGGGACGCCAAAACAAGGCTTTTGACTATTTCTAAAACCTTTTCTTTTGTAGAGAAAATACCTCACCGGGTTTGTGCTGTAAAAGCTAGACTCATTAGTTTGGTCTATAGTGTGAAATCAAAATTTTTTACCACTTTTGCAATATTTAATAGACGGGCTGAGAAACCTATGAGTTAGTGAGGTATCCATCTTACAAGGAAGAGGTTTAGCACTTACACGAGCATCAAAAGTAAAGTTAGGTAAAGTAATTTTTAGAGAATCCAATATTGTAATATTGGCATAACCGCATTCGTTTATAGATAAAATAGTTTTTTATCTATCCCAGTAGTTTTTAAGAAAGATTGGGCTAGGTTATTCTCTACGGTAGCGGAGCGCACGTCCTTCTAAATCCCCTCGCATACAGAATACTAACATATTATGCTTGGTAGGCATCTATGAACTTACCTAATTCTCGAAAGATATATCTCTTCTAATACTGTCTTCGCTTTTTCTAGTGGAGACTTAAATTATGCAAAGGGGTTGGTCTCTTTCAACTGCTATTTTCCGTTAATATAGACGGTTATAACGCGGTTAGTCACCTGCCACGATATAAAACATAAGCCATAAAGCTGCCAGGAAACGTAATTTGAAAAAAACTAAAGAAAAGTTAACGTTCTTTATATGAAAATGGGAACAAAACTAAATAACCGGCGGATGTAAAAGTGGGGATTATTTATTTATTAATGCCAGTTCTTCCTGGTGCTCGAACGAGTGAAAACTTCGAATACTTAGGCTCTCAATCAGGAGATAGCAGAGATATCACAAAGAACATTTAAGGCGTCATTATTTTTTCACATTGTCAAAAAATAAACAGCACTTAAGCGAGTCACGTGGCGGCGATAACGGGCCCCACCCCATGACTCCTAAATAACTTTGCTATCCAGCAGGCGATTAGTGTGTCTGGTGAGCCAGTCTTAAAGGACAACGACATGGCGTTGGAAGACAATTTTAGGGTTCAACTGAAGGTCCCGGTGAAGAGCATTACTTCATACAACCTAGGCAACTTTGTCAGAACACGCAGCAACTTGAACTGCCGACGCTATCGCAGTGGAGTCGTAGGTCCAAGCAGCAGAAGCGTATTTCATTATTGGCTGAACGTAAGACAAATACAGTTGCCATTTATTCCGCAGAGAAAGCTTACTCTTGCCTCAAGTAAAGGATAAAGCACCCTTGACCTTCGCCACTACATAGTCCACGTAAGGCGCAGGAAAATTTGTTGTGAATGAGGGTTCTCTAGGTACTTCGTTTGAGAACACCACGTAATCTACACGCCATTAAAGGTTAAGGGCACCAACTAAGGGACGGGATTCTTGAAATTAATATGAACTCTGCTTTTCATCGCATTTATAGTAACCTTCCCAACACGGCACCAGACAGAAAAGGTAGGCAGCTTATACAAATTGCAAATAAAAGGGCGAGAGAAGTGATCCATGAGGCCCTGCTGTCATAGATCGAAGCGGCGACCGGGCATCTCCCACGCGCACGCTGAAGACGGGGCAATTCAGATATAATTTCAACACGTTGTAAAGGCTGTGAGAGAAGGATACCGAGGGCAATTTGTGCAGTAGACCTTCATGTGCCAAATTTGACCAAATGCCTTTTCAACCTTAAGGAAGGCAGCACCTGTGGCCTTATTCTGGTTAAAAGAGCAAATGGTCCATTCAATCAAGCAGAGGAGCTGCTGGATCGTTGAGTGCCCTTGCCGAAATCTAAACTGAAACTCGGCAAAGCTTTCCGAGTGTCAGCGACCTCTTTAAGACGGCGTAGTAAAACGCCCTCAACTACTTTGCCGGTCGGTACTTACTCGATGCTGACTTCCGTTTAAGTGTTTTCGGTAGCGTTATGACGATCGCCGTCTTCCATCGAAGATTTTATAAGGAAGTAAAGATAATGCATCCCTATTATGGCATTTTCTTCAGCATCCCGTTAGTGATGCCATCGAGGCAGGCGCTTTTCGTTTAGGTAGCACTTCGACCATTGCTTACACCTCGTCAACATTAACTAAATTAAGTGGTCCTAGTTAACGGGAAGGGGTAAGCTTAGCTGAAGCACTCCATGGTTTATGCGAAAAATGAGCTTTTATAGGACACCAAGGGTAGAATTTGGAATTTTGTGATGTTACATATAATTAAGGCTTGCCCGTCTGAAGGGACAAGCCTTATTAAACCTTTAAGGGATGTCGCGAGCTTTTTTGTCGTTTTGTTGCTGAGTGTTTTGTTAACTGGTGAACGTTGTGCTACTCGGGCAGCTCGAGGGTAATCAAATAATTATACAGCTCTTTTTAATTTGAACTAACTCTATTATATTTCTGTGATATAATTTAACATATTACTCTTAATTTTTGTTTATGATATATTAGTTTTCGAAGTTATTTCCTTGGGTTTCCTTCCCAGAATGCCAGTTTTAACGAAATATTCTAGAGACGAATCCTAAATTTTCACGGCAGGTCGAGATCTAGCATTTAATAAACCTTTCGAGGAGTTTCCTTGAGTAAATAGTTTTTGCGAACGATCTCTCTCTAGGATTCTTTGCCGCAGGGACTTTTGTTTAAGTGATCCCAGTTCTGAGAAGCCCTTTGATAACTGTTCATAATTTGTTCAATTAATTTTCTGAACTATGGTCCTACCCACTGTAGTAGCTGCTAATTCGCTTGCCTGTTTCTTATGTAGGTTAATAACGCTAGTATAATCTTGATCTAACTCTTCCACATTCACCACCTTTTCTTTCGGTTCGTCCTACGTACTTTTCTTAATATTACATTGCTTAACCTAGATTCACCCTCAACGTGCTTCTCATCACTGAGTTTACATCTCTTGTTCTCCGAATAAGTCAGTCAAAATCTTCGACGAAAATGTGTTCGCTCAGAGGTACTGCTTACAAACCCGTCCCCACTAATTTTAACTTTGAATTTTTGCATTGACATTATTTAGATCTATACTAACGATCCCCTTATAATTCCTTACTAAGTTATTTCGGCCCACCGTATTTTTCATATATTTTTTTCGGTCATCCTCTCTAAAAAAATTGGATCAAAAAGGTACGCACTTCCTTTTAAAGAGATGTAGAAAACGCCTTAAAAAAATTGTAAAAGAAATTACAGAATGTCGTAGGAAAGAGAAGATATAAGGCTTATCCGGGGGGTGCAAAGATATTACGACTCGTTATACTGTATTATATAGCTTATAGTTTAGAACAACTTCGATTCAGGGCTTAAGACTTGTAAAATGAGCTTTTATAATAAAATTTAACTTCGTGGGGCAATAGTTTTCTGCCTGAATGCCTTAAGGAAAGTTTAAGCACTTAACTCTTTTTAATAATAAACTACGCGAAAGTAATGACTTAAATATATCTAATTATACTATTTTTCTCTTTATAAGAAATAACTGTGAAGGCATTCCACTACACATGTTAATTAATGCTGCTAACTGAGTCTTATTAAATCTTTAAAGCACAACAAAATTTGAAAACTTCTTTGTAAGATTAACGCTCTTTACTCGGCGTTTCACAAATATAGAAGTTAACTTTACAGTAGTAAAGAACGAAACATTTTTCAAGCGTTTTGGTCTAGACGGTGTCTCTGACAAACTGCGTATAACACCATTTTTCAATGCACAGTAGCAACAGCCCTGATCTTATTATAAGAATTCTCTTAAAAAAATTTAGTTAATTTTTATTAGGACCAAGAAGAGCTTTTGCTGGTTATTAAGTTGACTCTACTCTAGAAAGATAAATAAAATAAATAAAATACACTAATTAATGTAATTCATACCGGTAGCTTCCATTTCATCTATTAGTGAACGTACTTGCGGGTACGTGCGTTGTATATAATCTAATACTTTTTATCATTGAAAGTATAAACATACGAAAAAAAAGTGGAGGCTGATGCATACCAGCTGCGTCGTTCACGGGTTTATCTATAAATTATACTAGTTAGTATAATATTTGGCTGCTTATGAAAAAAAGAAGAAAATAATATATATATATTAATAAACAGGAAAAAAAAGGCTTAAGTATAGCATAGCAAAGATGACTTTGCAACAATATAACATGGAAAGATTAAAGTACAGTCATTGCTCGCCATACTCATGTTTCTCCGTACTTGAACTTTTTGAACCAACTCATCTTTATTAAAAAATAACACAGTACTGCACGTTTATATTCTGTTTTATATTTTACTCACTCAATAATTGCTCTTCCCCACCAATGTCTTCCACATCTTCCACATTATTTTGATCTTCTTCTGCCGTAATCATTTGGTTTAAAAATATTTATTTAATGTATTATAGAAACTGTTTTTAATTAAGTAGGGTATACATAAAATATAAACTATAATATTACTTACCCTCATATGAAGTGGGACCCCTATCTTTATTTCAAATTGCAAGTGCAAATATAGATATCAACGTTAAACAAACTTAAGTTTCGTATATCGTAGATGTTACCTAAATCACCTTCCCAAGTAGCATTAGTTCCTATATAAAAATAAAAGTAAAAGAAATTCACCACCCTAAACTATTTAGTAAAAGTCAAGAGTACAATATAGTAGGCCTGAGCAACGTTTTAGAAAGTAATATTATTTATAAGGGTGTATATAAAAAATCAAGGTAAACAATTTATATAATAATATTAACTTATAACCTTGTAATAATTTTAAACTATGTTAGTTAAAATGATAATTTATATACTACGTTGTATTCTAATAATTCTATGATTAATGGTTCAATAATATAAAAAATTAAAACACTTGTAGATTTTAATACATAGTCATTCGTTATTCCCGTTTAAGAAAATAGCCAGCAAGGGTTTATATAAGAAAAATTATTTTAATCCTTTTAATAGAATGAAAAAATTTAGGTTAATTTAAATTTCCTGAAAATCTAATTAAAACTTAAATAATTTATTATTATTATATATGATGTTTATATTAAAAAAAATTAATCTAAATTAACACAGAAACTGAAATCTACAAATTTACTAATTATTTGAACAAGTTTGTATGTGCGCAAAATTGGAAAACTCTTGAGGTCCTAACGAGCTCAGCGCATAGGTCAGTGCACATTTTTTACTAATCTCAACTTTTTTTGGGGTGACGATAAGGTATTATCACAAAAAAATCTGGGAAAAAAGGTCTTTTTTACTCATTTTTTAAAGAAATGTTTTGCATGTTTAGGAAAATATTAAATACTTGTTGCTTTACTTTTGTAAGCTAAGAAATTCCCATATAGTATAGAAGTTCAGATCTATTAGTCCTTTAAGTATTGAAATTTATTTGCTTGGAGCATTAAAAACTTACTATGTATCATAACTAAACTCTTCTATCTTGTATAGCTTTTTTGATGCACAAAATACTTATTTAAATATTTTTTTTATAAAATTATTGCATTCATTTATTACTAAATTAAGGGCCTCTAGGGAATGGTGATAATAAACTCTTTTAATCCATTTATAAATTTTTTAACAGATATTTTTAAGTCACAATGGGGAATTAATATACGAGTTATTGTAACCTGTCGCTTGCTGATTATTATCATTCTGTTCACTTTGTAGCATCTCCCCGTTAGAAGGAAGAGGTAATGTGCCTTTTTAAAAAATCACGATTATAAAAAAGGAGTAGTAAAAGGTTTATTATAACTTGTTGCTTGCTGTTTAAGATCATTCTGTCCTCTTTTTAGAATATCTCCTGTAGGACGAAAGAGTGTAGAGCCTATTATTCCGAGAACAAAAAGTTGAACATAGAAGTCTCCAAAAGTCTATTAATTAATTCTAAACAATTTGCTGCTCTACTTTAAATTTTGTTATGTTGCTCACTAATAGACATAAATTATATTATTCAAACTTTTGTTTCTTGGTCTTACTAATGCGAATGCACTCCATCAATAATTTGTTAACTAACAAACAGAATTACACTACATCGTAAAGTTTAGCAAGTCTAAACTGGCAGCAGTCACTATAGAGGTTAGCTTCTTTGGGATAAAGGAAAATATTTAATAAAAGCTTTACAGAACAGCGCATAAATAAAGCATAAAAAAAATGGTAGAATAATTGATTTTAATATTTGCTTTGGCCCACTAGCAATTTTATTTTTCAATGTGAGAGATCAGGGTTAAAAATATATATATATCGAAGTATTATTAATAAGAATTTATAATTTTCCTTCACATTAGTCATGTATAGTTACTTGAGATTTATTGTCTTTTTTGTATAACCTGTAAAATTAAACTTACGAGCAGTTCCAGGGTTATTGCTTCCTTTGGTATTTGGTTTAAAAGTAAGTTTAGGTAAAGTTTTTAACAAAAAACAAATAATTACCTTCATTAGCGTTAACGTTAAAGACTCCTTAGAGTTAAAAAAAAAATAATGAATTGTAAATTAGTAAAAATAATTATATGCTTGATAAAAAATTATATTGAAAAGAAACAAAATACCTCTATCCTTTGAAAGAGATAGAAATAAAATTTAAAATAGTTGTGTAATTTTGCATCAAAAAAAAAGTATATGCATAGGTACTTCTAGTAGCGGCTTCCCTATAACTTCTTACAGGATTCTCATATGTTTGGGAGGCTTCTTATTAACAAATTACTCATAAACGACAATAATAGCATTTTTTAAAGTACCCTTCGCGAGGTCATTTAGAAAAGAAAGTAACCGTTGTGGGTTAATGGGTGCAGATAAGCTATTTAAAACAACCAAAGTGGTCAGCAACAAGTAAGTAAGCACCATTCTAACGAAGATAAAAGTTTTCCTGTGCATAACTACGCCCGTATATATACTAAAAAGCTCTGCAACTTTTATTTTAGGAATTTAGGTAAAATTATTCAATAAATTATAAATAAAGAAATTAAAATTTATTTCAATATTTTTTCCAATCAACTTCGCTTAAACTCTTAAGTGCTAGTATATTTAGAAAATAAATTTACTAATCACTTTTTTATAATAATTACCATATAAGGAGCTAATATTTTAAGGAAAATAACTTTTTTTACTTAGTTTTAGGTTGCATAATATTCTAGTAAGAAATAGCAAGTAAAATTATTTTAATTTCTATTTAATACTTTATATTTATAATAGCAAGTAACTAATATTAAATGAATTGCGCAATGCTATATAGCATTTTTGAATAACTGTGACCTTTTTCACAATTTTGTTTAGTGAAAAGTGAATTCCGAGTATCTCTGCCTTATTTTTTAGTGTTGGATTAGGCCGCTGTCTTAAAGTAAGGTTACTATGTAATATATTATTTACTCTTTTTTTTTAAAGGTGATATTATGTAAACTATAACTTTGTCTTTATCACGACGCACTACCGGAAAGGAAAACTTTAACATAGGGATTACATTAATATTTACAATGTTAGTATGAGCAGGTAGTACTTTTAAAAGTATCATTAAAAATACCCTAATATTATAAAGTGTATAAGGGAGTATTAGGGTAGTAAGGCTAAGATATCGAATAAGTCACTCTTAACCCTAATTTAACAAGCGGCACAAGTTTACAGAAAAAATTTAAATATATTCTGTAGTTTATAATTAAAACAATAAGAAAATAGTATTTCATTAACTTCTAACACAGTGGTAATTTTTAATTACGTTAGCTTTGATATTATCAAACTGTCTTCAAATTAAACTGCATGAGTATAGTACTAGTACCTAATAACTATACGACAAATATTTCACCCGAATGACCGATCAAGACGATCCGAATGAGTATGTTATTGCCACATTTACAACCGTACAAGTTGTACCAAAGGTCCCGGAGACAGGACGAAAGTCTTAGGTCACAACACTCATTATGCAGGTCTTGCTTCCATGGTGTCCAGTGACCCTCCTAACTTTGAATAGAAGTAGTTTTCAAGCATAACTTAGTTGTTTTGGCGGAACTTTTTTAATAGTGTTTATGTTGGGTTACGGCAGCTCTTCATCCACCACGTATAAGAATAAATGGTTTCCGAAGACAATGCTAGTACTTAAAGCGAAGCTTCTAATTCCGTAAGTTTAATGAGCCTTTTGGTTAGGGCTAGGGTTAGGTTAAGGTTAGGGACAGGTTAAAACAAGTCTCGTAAACAAAGTTATAGGTTCTGTTACTAACATTGCAAAAGGGTCAAGTCACTGACGACTTTTCACCAATTCTAAGAGTGTATCTTTCGACACGTTGCGTCACACCACCTGCAACTCTCCAAAGTAACACGGCACTCTCAATGCAGAGTCGGATCAGGAAGGTAGGTAACATAGTCACGGTCTATAGTGAACTGCATTAGCTCCAAATTTTTGGTAAGCCTATTAGACAGCAGAGGGTGATATGACCCTATCAAGATAAATTTACTTTGTCATGTTATTCTTCCTTTGGATGACTCCTTATTAAGTTCCATAGATCGAGACCATCTTCGACCGACCAAGAATAAGAGCGACGGAAAACGCAAATTTTACATATAGGGTCAATCTTTTTTGACCGCTTTTATGATAGTGAATCTAGCACGGGAACAGGAATCGTTACGTGCATTAAAGAATGTACGATACTTGACGAAAAATCAAAAGATCCGATTCAACGGCCAGAGCCAAAACCAAGCGTTCGACGAAGTCTACCCAGTGAGTAGCCAACCTACGCAGTTACCAGTGCGTAACTATTTAACCACAAAGCTCTTACCTACTGCTATGACAGCCGAGTATCGGAGGCATCACAAGCCCGTGCAACGATAAACCGCCCATGAGGGAAAGTGCTCCTGGAGATAAAGTTAGCTTTTATCTCCTATACGAGTATTTAGAACCTTTAATTAGCCCAACGGACCACCAAAAGGTCAAAAATAGTATCTCTACCCAGATAATGATAATGTATTTATCAAGTATTATTAATTACTAGAATATAGTACTTTTTTTTTTATTTGTGATGGCTATTATGAAGATTTCTTGCTATTTTGAGCAAGTTAGTTGCACCTAATCTTTAAAAATAAATAAGGTAAAATTTCGCAAGGTTTCTATGTATGCTAAATCGTATGGTTAATGGGTATAGTAGGGTTTTGTATGATTTGGGTAAGTTTAGGATCAGTTTATAAGCACTTACAGGATCTTTAGCAAGACGTCAAAGATGTTTAGGAGAATGTGGGCCTGAAGGGTCTTTTTGTTTACTTAAATTTTTAGTATAATAGTTAAGTAATAATTCTAAGTGTGTTTTATACTCAGGTTTATTAAAATGTACCAGGCAAGTGTGCTCTGAATTTTTAATAGGAGGGTAGGAGCTAGCTAGTCCAAAATAAGCATGAATAAGTGACAAAGCAGGTCAATGTGATTGAGCTTCAAACCCTCATTTTAGTATTATTGAGTAATGGAAGGATGCTTGTTGGTGAGTTTGCATACTTTGCTCGGAGAGAACTGATCTAAAGATATACCTGTATCGAACACAGCTTTATTGAAAGCAAAAGGTTCATGGTACTTTATGCCTTAAACCTTAGCAATATTAGGTAAATCAGCATAATAGAATCTATTACCATAATAAGCAGCATTAATTTGGGCAGAAAACTAGAAACAATCAGAAGAGGGACCTGAGCCTAACTTATTTCATTCAAAGTTGTATTCTCTTACTAAATATAAGGGGATAGCTTACACGAGACGGAGACGTGTTATTGATCTTGATGATTTTGTAGTCTCAGGCTACTGCTTAACAGATGCATGTAAATTCTCGCTCTGGTTAACGATTCTAATACAATTTCAGGTAAAGAGAATTGATTAAATGGTCCAGGAATTTTAGTTATATTCCTTAAGAAATCTTATTTCATAGGAGAACGGGAAGTCAGGTTTATTTTAGTTATTTAGCATGAGCTTGTTAAAGTTGCTTAAAAAAAGCCAAGCTTCTTGTCTATCGCTGGTCAATAGTGGAGAAGATAGACTCCATCTACTAATTTGTACCTTCCATAGCTTTCTTAAAGGTCTTATAAAGTTTTATCCCTTTTTCATAGTAGCCAGCTCTAATTTACTTCTATTAAAGTTCTCAAATTGGTGTTGGTTTCTATCTCTATGGCCATGAGAGAGATTCCATAAAGCGCTGTAGTAATCTGATATTGAGCCGGATGTGGCTAAAGTATAAGAATTGTTATTGAGTTTATATCCTGGAATTGTTGTCTGGAGTATGAAGGCTCTATTTTTTTTAAAAGGAAGACTGTATTTCCTTTATCTATAGTAACTGGATTAAAAAAACCTTATCCTGTAATATATTTTCCATAGTTACACTACTTTCAAAGCTAGCTAGTGTTCCCTTATTTAAAGTCTTACCTCAGAAAGTGTTAAGAAGGTTTTTGCTATTTTTTTTATTGAATTTTATTACATCAGAGGCTGTCTTGAGTTTTTCCGGTAGCTTTAATGTAACCTAGCCTATTTACAGGGATACTGAAATCAGTTGTATCTTGATAGAGAAAGGCAGTTTCTACTCTGATTTGATATTTTAAAGACTTTTAATACCCAGCATCAGTCAAAGAAAGCCACTAAAACCCCTCATGCCTAGTAAAGCGTAAGGAGGGTAAATACCATTAGTTTGAATATCTTTAGCTGGAGCTAGAGAAGAAACTCAGGAAAAACGAATTTCTCACCGATCGAGTAGTTTAAGTAAGGTTTTAAATTACCATAAAAGTTACCCCAGATTGTATTCAGGTTATTTAGGGGTCTTTGAAGTTAACCACGTTCCTATAAGTTTTGGTCAATAGCTTTGCTGTCATTGATGATCTCTAGTATCCTTTGAGGTAGAGGACAAATGCTTAAAACAAAAGGGACTAATCTGTTAACATCGTAAATGTGCATTTTGGACACCACTTCCCTGAGGAGACAAGTAATCCTGATTAGTTCACATTAAGTTATTTTTAAAGCCTAGGTCAAATAGCAAGGAGTACTCGTAAGGGATTGCATATTGCTTTTATATTGGGATTCTTTCTGAGATGTAAAGTCAAAATACTTGGCTCATATAATTAAGAGCTTCCTGTCTTGGTCGGATAAATACGCATAAGCGGTTAGCTGATTAGAAGCAGGACCATTAGCGTTAGCCACCAATGGGTTAACTTAAAATAGTAAATTTACCTTTTTCTTTAAACTGAGTCAATAAAGAATAGTCGTGCCTTTGAGAGATTCTTCTAAGCCCACTAACGCCAACTTAAATGAAAACTGACGTCTAGAGTAGTGCTTATATAAATTATAATGAAGCATCCAGAAGTCCTTCCAACAGACTGAATTAAGAGGGGTGGAAAAGCCTGATACAACCCCATCATTGATTTCTCAACCTGCTGTAAAAATATTTTTGGAAGTGACAGCTCTGTTTTTGAATCCACTAGGTTATTTCATGTATTATGCTCTCCGAAAACAAAAGAAATGGTAACTAAAGTTATGCACTCAACTCCTTCCTTTACAGGGAAAAATAATGGTCTCTCTGGAGAAGTTGTAACTCTTTACGATTGTTGATCGAGGCTTTTAGCCCAAGGACTAGCAGTTTATAAGAAAAGGCACCGGAGTAGAGAACTAACGGAGGAAGGTGAACGTGTAAATAAGAATTAACATTCGTGAAAAATCTTTTTAATTGGATAAAATTAAAGAATCTCCTAGATACTGGTTCACAACAAGGCCGCCGGAGTCAGTTATCTTGAATAAGCTTCTTAGGCTTCATTTTCTGTCTAGATATTGTTTAACGTATAAAGTAAAGTACAAAGATTGAGGTGTTCTTAAGTGAAAAAAACTTCCTAAAATTCACCCT